GGAGGGAGCAGTAAGATTTGGGTATCCAAATACACATAGGTCTGGGATATGGCCTCAAAGTTCTCATTCACAACTGCAGTAGAAAAGAGATGCAAATTAAGGATATTACTGTTCTGTCACAGTAGACACTGCAATCCCTTTAGCTGCGCAACTGGTCAGATCATTTATTTGTATTACATTCTATATATTGCATTATCTCTATGTCAGTATATCTATTTAACTCTCTTTCACTTCAGTAATCGAAATGGGGATTTACTGTATTTTGAAAGATGCCAGTCACATCTCAAACATCCCTTTGGGGATATACAATATTCCAGATAGTGTATTTGCTGGTATCCAGATGTAGGACTAATAGTATTGGAACGGTTCATGATCTTACAGGTTTCTTTTTCTGTTATGTTCCATGCATACAATTTAGTTAAAAATGTAAAGAATTCCTGATAAATGTGTTTGGGGAAATGCACTTCTGGCCTGCAGAGAAATAAAGACAAAGTGCCAGAGAGGGGTGCAAAGGGGGATCGTAGGAAGAGAATACTTTAAAACTAAATGGGTCGAACAAATGAATAACATTAGTTAAGGCATTGTGCACGCAACCCCATGACAGTTAACCTATTAAATGTTATTATTTAAATAGTAAATTTGTAGCGGAACTAGGTTTTGCGATGTGTAAATTAATAATAAATGTAATAATAAATGTATTTATTATTAATTTACACATACAATTAATTAATTTACACATATAGTTAATATCTATATTGCCACTTCCAATTTTACTTCCAATTTTCTATTTTAAAATATTATGTGTAGAAAACTATTTTTTTCTGTTGTGTACAGATTTCTATCACACAATGCATACTTGGAAACATCCACTGTGTAACATGTTCAGTAACATCCTGACATATTAAATCTGTAATATGACAACAGAACATACACAAACTGAAAATTAAAAAACAAAACACTTAGATAAGGCTCTTTCTCTTTGAAGCGTAAGCAAAATACTTTTTTTCACACAAATACAGTAGCTCTTCGAATGAATTAATTTGTTATGTATAAATAAATAATATATTTCCAAAGGTTTATTTTATCGGTTACACAAACTAAAACATTCAAAAACCCAAGTGGTCGATACTTAAAATATTCAGCCAACACTTTGATGATTAATGAAATACAAATCAACTCAGCTGAGATGCAGTCATTTTCCAAATCAGACACGCACACAAATGTTTCATTAAACCTAAGGTAATATGCACTTTTTAGGTTTGGTTTTTATGCATTCCATAGAAATAAAAACAGAATATTTGAAATACATGGACTTGGCTGTTGCCTTCTTTCTGTAGGAGGACAGTGAAATTGTTTAGTAGTTGTTTAAATGCACGTCAAATGCAAATGCTGGAAAGCATAAAGGATATATGATGATGAAAGAGCAGCTTAATGCCAACATTTAATGTGTTTTTTTTAGATCTGTTCTTCTGTTATTGGGAAAAAATTTTTTTTTTTTTTAAATGTGGAGGATGTTCAATAGTAGTAGTATTGATGTTAATAAGTAATTAAACTGGCCATTTGTGAGGTAAATTTACAGTGGTCAAGGCTGCAATTACGCTCACAATATTGTAAGTTCAAGTGATGTCTATATATAAGTTGGCCATGCACATATTAAATGTATAAGCTGTTGGGGGGTGGGGCCTGACTCTCGAGCAGGCCAGACGTGTTTGTCTGGAGCTCTGGCAACCCTGAGACTATTCGAAGGGAATTGTGCGTTTTGTAAGCAGGTACCATGACTAAACCGCAAGCGAGACATACCCACAGCCACACGGACCCCGCTAAGCTTGTTATTGCTCCGACTGGCACACCATGTCCCCGGCCTGGCGACACTCAAAGGCGCGCGGCCTGTTGTCTGGGGGAGGCGGCCGATCCCCCGGCGGAGGAAACGTGCTCTTAAAGCGACACTGGAGCCCCGTCGCCCGCCCTCGGGACCAGTGGGGGATATCCCGGTCCCCGCTGGAATGAAGCACCACCATGCAGCAACAGACCCATCTCCAGTGGATCCATGGCGCTACCAAGATGGCTGCCGAGCTGCAACCAAAGCAGAGTAACCTGGGCCCACCGGTTCAAAAGTGGAGGGAAGCTTTTGAAAGAAAATTTGACGCAATCTGCAAAGCGTTCTGGCATAGACTCGAAGTACGATCTCTCCCACCAGCATCTCCTGCCAAGAGGGTACCCGAAGCTAACATCCAGACTGCCCGATACTCTTCTGGGCTTGGAGCCTACCAGGAGTTTACTCCATGCCGTCCATACACCCGTGAGGACGCCCGGGATGAGAAGAACCCGTGAGCCCACAAGCCAACCACCAAGATTGGGAGGCTTAATGGACAAAAGGCAAGGGCCGGAGCTGAAGAGGCGGGAAATCGGGACACATCGGGAACACCCGAACAAAACGACGAAGCTGCCAAACCAAAGCATGCCCCTCTCATTCCTGCGGCCATCGAACACAAGCCCTGGTTGGGGAAAATGGTGACGACCTGTGAGCAACACCTCCGAGCAACACCTCCGAGCACCACCGACAATGCCACTCTGGGGGACAAAGCCATAACAGCTGCTGGCGTGGGCTAAGAGACGTTCTGGGACACTTAAGTAACACAGCTTGTTTCATTGTTAAGAGCCTAGCTCCTGTTCCGCATTTACACACTTACCCCTTTTAACCAGTGAACGTCACACACCCACTCATGAGCTCGGTTAACGCCAGTTAGGGTTAGTTAGTATCAGTTGGCTCAGCTGGCTCAGCTCACACACGCTTGAGGACACTAACGACCATACACCTCAGTTAGGCAATGCACTAGCTTAGCCTCCAGAGTGTTATACCTACCCAAGGTTGACCTATCTATACAAAGTATATGCCATTACTCTAATCCACATTGTTTTACCCCATCTACGCGGTTTCATGCTTCTTTATCTACCTATCTATAACATAAAATTGTGCATATGTTTCCAGATACCCCAAATGCAAAACATGAGAAATATGTACGAGGAATGCCGTTGGGGTACCTCATGCCTGTCTGTAACAATCCAATGCATGGCAAAAATATAAAAAATAAAATAAAATAAAAAAATGTATAAGCTGTTGAAGTTACAAACAAAATGTAATCATTCCAGCAGGGAATCCTATGTAGTTGTGATAGGGGCATTGACCACAGTCTAAAAACCTTGGACATGTTAAATCTCAGAACAAAGAGATGGAAGTCTCAGAAATCTCAGAAAATTACAAAGATTTGTGTCATGTGGAGACAATGTGCTACCAAAGTGTCTATAGGAACAGGTGCCAGCCAGCTCTATGTTCTGTTATGGGAATTAGGATGGGTCGATATCAGTCCAAAAAAGTCCTGTGAATGAACAAAGAGGCCAGAGATCTGAATCATTAAGAATTATGTAGCAACAAGTCAAAGTTGAAAGAAAATAGTTTGTTAAATTATCAAGTATTCAGCCAGGAGATCAACTAATGCCTCAATTCCATGGAAATCAGGGGCTCAGTTGGTATAATGGTGGTATAAACAAGCCATAAAATGTGAGCATTGTCACAGATTGTAAATTATTATTAATAGCAAAATGAACGTGTGATGGATTTATATCTATCTATCTATCTGTCTGTCTATCTATCTATCTATCTATCTTTCTATCTATCTATATATCCCATACATATATGAGGTTCACCTTCAAAGTAGGCACCTTTGGACCTCTCCCAGCATATGTTCCACTGGTTAAAACACTCTGCAAATTCTTTTGTTGGCATCGCCATCAGCTGCCTCCTTGTATTTACATGAATTTCATCAAGCTCCTTCTGGATTGCTACCTTTCTGTGGTGAAGGGGCTTGTGTACTTCAATGAAGCTATGGGCTATACCATGTAGGGGCACCCAAGATGGGCAGGTCATAGCAGAGAAGTCAGACAAATCGCGGTGCACTGGAGAAGGAACTAGCAACCCACTCCAGTAACTTTGCTAAGATAACTATATGGACAAGCAGAACCAGAGACATAATGATATGGCACTGGAAGATGAGCCTCTCAGGTTAGAAGGTGCCTACCTCATTACTGAGGAAGAGCAGAGAGCGAGTATGAGTAGCACCAGATCTAATGAAGTAGTTGGGCCAAAGCCGAGAGGACACCGAACTGCGGATGTGTTTGGAAAGGAAAGTCCACTGCTGCAAAGAACAATTTAACATAGGAACCTTGAATGTTAGAACTATGAACCATGGCAAATTGGATGTGATCAAACATGAGATGACAAGGTTAAACATCGATGTCCTGGGAATTAGTGAACTCAAATGGACTGGAATAGGACATTTCAAATCAGACAACCATCACATCTTCTACTGTGGTCAAGAATCCCGCAGAAGAAATGGAGTAGCCATCACAGTAAATCATCGGGTGGACAAAGCAGTGCTCGCATACTACCAAATAAATGACAGAATTATTTCAATTATTTCAAGGCAAACCATTTAACATTACAGTGATCCAAGTTTATGCTCCAACGATGGATGCTGAAGAGGCTGAAATTGTCAATTTCTATGAAGATATTCAACACATGATAGATATAACACCAAGAAAAGATGTTACTATCCTCATAGGAGACTGGAATGCTAAAGTAGGGAACGAAAAGACACCTGGAATAACTGGCAAGTTTGGCTTTGTAGTACAAAATGAAGCAGGTCAGAGATTAGTAGAATTCTGTCAAGATAATTCTCTGGTCATAGCAAACACCCTCTTCCAACAGCCTCCAAGATGACTTTATACATGGACATCACCAGATGGACAACATAGAAATCAGATTGACTATATACTTTGCAGCCAAAGATGGAGGAGCTCTATCCAGTCAGCAAAAACAAGAACTGGGGGGGCGTGGCTTAGCGGGCAACGCGGATGGACGCACGGGATTGAGCTCCGCTCCCAGCTAGCCCTAAAAACAGCACTGCCTGCGGGAAAAACCGAGACCCCCGACTCACCTAACGATGTCCCACCCAAAGCACAAGAAACAAGCAGAAAAATCCGACAGGTCGGAGTTCTTCGCGGCCCGAGCCTCGACGCCGAAAGCTACAGGCCTGCTGGACCAGGCCCAAGATGGCGACGGCGGGAACGACACACTGCCGCTAAGGACGCCCACGGGTTCCCACAACCTGCCAGTCACGCAAGACTTTCTGCAGACATGCTTGGAGGATATGTCCAGCAAAATCCTGGCGTCCATCCAAAGCACTCTGAGGGAACTCAGCAAAGACGTGCAGGAGCTGGGGGACAGGACCGCACGGGTGGAACAGCGCGTGGAGGAGCAGACATCTGTTCATAACGAGCTGGCAGACCAAGTGCACAACCTGCAGCAGTTACTGAACCAGTCCCAAAGGAAAATCATGGATCTGGAAGACCGCTCACGAAGACAAAATCTGCGAATTAGAGGCATACCGGAGGAGGTGTCTCAACAAGATCTGCACCCCTTCCTCATAGAGTATTTCAAAGCACTGACCCCCGAGCTACCAGCGGAGATGCTGATCCTGGACAGGTACCACAGGGTCCAAAAGCCAGCGTTCCTGGCGCAAGACACACCAAGGGACGTGCTAACCCACCTCCACTACTTCCACGTAAAAGAGGCAATTCTCCAGGCCACGAGAGGGCAAAGGGATCTGCCACAAAAATTCACTCACATAAAAATCTTCACGGATCTGTCAGCGGCTACACTACAGAAAAGGAAAGAATTCAAAACGACCACAGAGGCCCTGCGCAACAATGGTGTCCAGTACAGGTGGGGATACCCGGTCCGCCTGCTGATCAGGAGGAATGGCACACTGACAACGATCAACACGCCAGAGGAAGGCCACAAACTACTGCGCAGCTGGGGCATTCAACCAACCCAGGCAGGGGCAAAGGCTGCAGATCAGCGCAGACTGTCTCCGGAGTGGAAGAGGGCCAAAAAATGATCCCATAAAGGGATTCCAAGCAAGAGATGGGACTTAACAGAGACTCCAGAGGGAGCAGTCGGACAATGGGCCGCAAGTATACCAGACACACATGACACGCACACTCAAACCCTATCACTCGATATCTAACTCACACAGCCACACCATTAACCTGGCACATGTCAGTGCCTAGCACACTAAATAGAAAAAAAAAAAACAACCCACTCACAACAACTTGATAGGAGCCCAGACCTAAATACAGGCCTGTCCAGAAGCTACACCCCAGACACGCTAGAACTCATACCCATCTCACCTTTCACCATTTAGCCGCAAAACACACGCAGGCAAAAAGATAGCGTGTAACGGGCATGGCATGCTCACCTAGCTACACCGCACACATCACTCATCAGAGTTCACCACGCACCCCAATGGCACTACATAATGGGTGCCCTACCCTTCAGTAGGAAATGTTCAATTGTAATACTGTGATATTGTATGTTTTGTTTTATGTTGCACTGTTTACCCCAAAGGTCTTGCATAAGGTTAGCATGACTGCATCCACCCTTGCTCACCACACCACCCTTCCCCCCACCACCAGACAGGTTGGAGACCACGTAGCATATATCCGAGTTGGAGACCATAGGACACAGGGAGGAGTAACACACCAGACACTGACCCCCCAAGTCAAAAGCAAGATACTTCAACACCACTCAATAAAATATGAAGATACACTGTCATAATGTAAAAGGGTTAAACACCCCAGTAAAACGATATTGTCTCATAAGAGATCTGCGCAGGGAATGCCCCGATATAGTGTGCCTGCAGGAAACACACCTCAAAAAATCAATAATCCTAGCCCAGGCGCAATACACAGCTCAATTCCATAGCACCTCCACGTCCAAAACGAAAGGGGTATCCATCCTCATCAGCAAGGATGTGTCCTTCAAACCGTTATACATATCCATAGACAAAGAAGGGCGATATATTATCATGATATGCGAAATCAACAATTTAGAATGCACGATAGTCAACCTATATGCACCCAACACACACCAGAGGAATTTCTTACATAAAGTCATCACACTAGTGCAATCGGTCCAGAGGGGCATTACTATATTATGTGGGGATTTCAATCACATACTGGACCCCAAATGGGATACCACAGTACAGCTAAACACTCCCAGATCAGCTACCCTCCAGAAGGAATGCAAACCACTAGTACGCTTGCTCAAAGAACACGATTACTACGACGCATGGAGATTGCAACACCCTGGGGAGAGGGACTACACCTTCCTCTCTCAGGTACATAACACTTACTCGCGTATTGACGGGTACTATATAAAAGGTGCCCACCTCAACCACATCATGTCCTGCACGATAGGTACCATAACATGGTCAGACCATGCCCCAATAACCTTAGAGCTATGCGACGCATATGACTACAAGCATCGAAGCCCGTGGAGACTAAATGAATCTCTACTGACAGACCGACAATACAGCGACACAGTTAAAGACGACCTCTCCAACTACTTTGACACCAACACAACTCCAGACATATCACCAGAAACACTGTGGCAGGCCCACAAACCAGTTGTAAGGGGACTCCTTATAGGGAAAGCAAGTGCAATAAAAAGGGCAACCCAAACAAAAAGAAAAGAATGGCTGACTACCCTCTACAATCTAACCAAACAGAACCAACTCACACCAACCCCACAGCTCCTAGAACAAATTAAACAAGTAATAGACGAAGGCAAAAAACATGACCTAGTAAAAATGGGGTTCACAATGCGGAAGCTACAGGCAGCCCACTACACCCAGGGAAATAGAGCCAGCAAACTCTTAGCGAGGAGACTGTCGCAAAGGAACGCACAAACAAAAATCCCATTCATACTGAACTCTAAAGGGGAAAAAAGGGTTACACCCAAAGACATCAGCGACGTGTTCGCCGACTACTATACGACCCTGTACAACCTGGGTCGGGACCCAAACACCCCCCAACCGTCACAAACACGAATAGAACAATACCTGGAGGGTATATCACTACCGGGCCTTACTGAGGACCAAAGGGAGGGCCTACAAGCCCCTATCACAGAGGAAGAAGTGCTACAGGTAATAGCGAGCCTCCCCAAGGGGAAAGCACCAGGACCCGATGGGTTTACCAACGCGTACTATAAACGATTTGCTGCCACTCTTGCACCACACCTAACAAACACCTTTAATGCCATCACCCGAAAGGCAGAAGCCCCGGCAGACATGCTAGGAGCTCACATTATAACACTTCCAAAACCAGGCAAACCACCCACATGTAGTCAAAACTTCCGGCCAATATCCCTACTAAACACAGACACAAAAATCTATGCTAAAATACAGGCAAATAGGCTAAAACACATCATCCCTACACTGATACATGATGACCAGGTGGGCTTTACCACAGGTAGACAGGGATCAGACAACACGAGGAAAGTGATCGACCTCATACACAGCCTAAGACGATATCGGACGGAGGGTGTTTTACTCTCATTGGACGCAGAAAAGGCCTTTGATCGCCTTAATTGGCCTTTTCTAGAAGCAGTGCTCCAAAAGTACAAGTTCCCTAGATCATTTATAAATGGGGTAAAAGCACTATACTCCCACCCCACAGCAAGGGTACTCAATGCAGGATTTGTGTCCAAACAAATCAACATAACGAATGGGTCCAGGCAGGGGTGCCCCTTGTCCCCACTATTATATATCCTGGCACTGGAGCCCCTTGCAGCGGCGATAAGGGCGGAACCATCCATACAGGGCATCACAATAGGAGACAGGGAGTACAAGCTCAATCTATTTGCAGATGACATCCTAGTAACGCTCACACAGCCCCTAATCTCCCTGCCAAACTTGATGCTACACATAGAATCATATGGTGAAGTATCATATTACAAATTGAATGTCACCAAGACACAAGCATTGGGGATGCATCTAGGCACAAACCTCACGTCCAGACTGAGAGAGGCATTCCCCTTAGACTGGAGAAACGATCACCTAACCTTTCTGGGCCTCAAACTTACAAAAAACCCTGATAAATTATTCCACCACAACTATGTACGCATGCACAAAGAGTTCACAGATTCCATGCAAGCATGGAAGGGAAAATACCTGTCATGGACAGGACGCATAGCAGCAGTCAAAATGTCGCTAATACCAAAAATCCAATACCTGTTCCGTACACTACAGATACCCCTACCAAAGCAATACCTCAAAAATATGCAGCACACCATCAGTGCCTTCATTTGGGAGGGGAAAAAAGCAAGAGTGGCAGCAGGGACGCTACAGCAGACAGTCCGCAGGGGGGGGTTGGGCCTCCCGAACTTAACGGCTTACTATAGAGCAGCATACCTCCATAACATTACACAAATAAACCTCACTGTCAAGGCTCCACAATGGGTAGCCATAGAGGCGCACTGGGCACCCAGAAGGGACCTACGAGCACTGATATGGCAAGGAAACCGCCCTAAGCACACCAGGGACAAACTCCTGCCCAGTACCCAGACCCTTCTACAAATATGGCACAAAATAAGAGATAAAATGGTGGCAAAACAAAAGCTTCCTATGGCCACACCAATCCAAACAGTAGGGCTGGACATCCCAACTTTCCCGTGGGAGACATGGGTGAAAGGGGGGATACACCATATATATCAGGTGATAGACAGGGGGCGACTGAAAGCACTACCGGCAATTCAGGAGGAATACACACTGCCCAATAAGGTCATATTCTCTTACATGCAGCTAAAGTCCTACGTTTCAAGTAAGCTAGACGCCGAAGATAAATGGGACGATGAACTGAACATGACGAGACTTGAAAAACACTGTGTGGGCAAAAAGACACTGGGGAAAACCCTATCATGGGGATACCAGGAGCTAATAGCAACACGAACACAAACACTAGATAAGATCAAACTGGCGTGGCACCAAGAGTTGGGCCAGACGTTTCCAGAAGACACCTGGGACCGGGCATATCTGGCGCATCAGGGACTCACAGCATGCCACACACACCTAGAACTACAACGCAAACTATTGTACCGCTGGTACTTAGTACCAGACAAACTCCAAAAGATGTGGCCAAACACTACCAACATATGCTGGAGATGTGGGAGTGAGGTGGGGACCATGCTACATATCTGGTGGTCCTGCGCCGCACTTAGCTCATTCTGGAAGGAAGTGACCCAACATTTACAAAAAATATATCCGACACCCAGGTTAGATAACCCACAAACATGCATCCTGTTTATGTTGCCCAAGAGCATCCCGAAGCACATTAGGACGATTCTCTATCACACCCTCATATCAGCAAATCAGACGATATCCAGGTTATGGAAAAAAACAACAACCCCCACTATCCAGGATGTGATAAAACAGGTAGAACAAAACTGGGAGTACGAACTTATGACAGCAGCACAATTTGGGAAACGCACTCATATACTTGAGGCACACAAGACTTGGAAGGCTAGCATAACATCCGAGGTATGAGGGCGGGAAGCTGGAGATAAGCTATTACCACACTAGTGGGCAGAAAGCAAACCACCCATCAAGGCCCACAAAAGGTGACGTCACCAGCAT